AGAGAGGGTCTCTCTGCAGCCCCAGCTGTCCTGGAACTCTCTATGTAGACCAGGCTGGCCTTTGATCTCACAAGACCAGGCTTTGATTTGCCTTCCTCTGCCTCCCAGATGCTGGGACTAAAGGTGTGAGTCACCACACCTGGCTTTTTCATCTTATTACTTTTTTAAAATTATTACTATAGCCAGGCGTGGTGGCGCACACTGTTAATCCCAGCACTCAGGAGACAGAAGCAGGTGGCTCTTTGTGAGTCTGAGGCCAGCCTGTTCTACACAGTGAATTCTAGGCCAGCCAGGGCTACAGAGTGAGATCCTGTCTCAAAATAAAATATAATTTGAGTGCATGTGTGTGTGGGGGGGCATTAATGCCATGTTGCTCAAGTGGAGGTCAGAGGACAGCTTTGTGGGGTCAGTCCTCACTTTCCACCTTTACGTGAATTCTAAGGACTGAACTCAGGTTGTCAGGCATGTGTGGCAAGCGTTTTTACCCACGGGGCCACCTCATTAAGTAGCCCTGGCTGGCCTGAAACTTGCTGTGTAAACCAGCCCAGCCTTGAACTCAAAGAGACCTACCTGCCTCTGCCTAATTAATGGTGTGTACCACCATGCCCACTACCCTACTGTTTTCTTTTTTTTTAATTTTTAGGAGTGGGCTGGAACTAGGAGGACACTCATTCCCCCAGATAGCTCTTGGAACCATCTGTCTCCTGGAACTATGCTGATGGAACGCTCTGCTGGAATGTACCTTATATTTTGAGACAGGGTCTCTCAATGAACCTGGAGCTTACTGGCCTTTATATGAATGCTGAGGTCCCCAACGCAGGTTCGTGTGCTTGCATGGTAGGCATTTTACTAACAAACATCTCCGTGGCCCTGTTTTTTGGTTTTCGGAGACAGGGTCTTATGTAGCCTAGGCTGGCCTTGAACCTGCCGTGTAGCTGATGAAGGCCTTGAGCATGTGATCTTTCTATGGAGTGCTGGTATTACAGGCACGTGTCACCATGCCCAGTGAAACACTGCTTTCCATGTGGGAAACAGCCATGCCTAAATGAACCGCAGTGTTCTGCCAGTCCCTCCCAACTAGGCTTCTGGCCTGAGAACCAGAATGCTGTCGTGGCTTTCTCACAGGTGTGTGGCATTATGAGGGCTCCAAGCCTCCCTGAGGAGGGCATAGTGTTCCCAGGGAAAGTTGTGAAACCAAATTCCAGACTAGAAACAGGACAGACCCAAATTCTGGATTCTGGATTCTGCCCCCATTTGTAAGTGTCATTCCACCACTGGCTAAGATTTCTCCCCCGAGATGAGAACAGAAAAACTTTGGGCTGGAGAGAACAGGGACTTTCCATGTCTGTTACGTTTTTAAATTTAAATTTAATTTATTGTGTGTGTGTGTGTGTGTGTGTGTGTGTGTATGTGTGAGAGCGCACGCACGTGCGTGTACGTGTACATGTATGCCAGGTACACACAGAGGCTAGAGGGGGTGTCCTGCTCTGTCACTCTCTGTCTTAGTCTCTTAAGGCAGGGTCTCTCACTGAACCTGGAACTCATTGTGTACGTGTACATGTATGCCAGGTACACACAGAGGCTAGAGGGGGTGTCCTACTCTGTCACTCTCTGTCTTAGTCTCTTAAGGCAGGGTCTTTCACTGAACCTGGAACTCATTTCTGGTGGCCAGCAAGCCCCAGTGATCCTCCTGTCTCTATCCCCTACAGCACTGGGGTCACAGGTATAGGTGGCCATGCCCAGCTTTCTACATGGGTGCTGAGGATTCAAACTCATGTCCTCATGCTTGTACAGTAAGAGTTCTGACCCACTGAGCCATCTCAAAGCTTTGCCTATTGACCTTCTTTCTCTCACTCCTAAGGCTAAGGCTGGCTGGTTTCTCGACCATGAAATATTAGCCCCTCCACACCCCAAAGTGGAGCTGGGCCACAGATAAGGAAAGAAACTTTATGTCAATCTGTTTTCCATTTCAAGTTCAAATCAAAGGCTGTGTTGGGCCTTGGGGTGAGCGGGTAATGGATCCTGTAAACCCTTCAAACATTACAGCAGAGTATCCTGTCTTTTTACCCTACCCTGCAATAAAACCCCTAGATCTTAGAAGAAACTCAACAAATGACACTTATCTAGTTTTACTCTGGAAAATTTGCTTTAACCAAAGGAGGTAGATGAACCCTGAAATGCCTCTCCTGGAGCCCTGGATGGGACTTTTGCTCTCCTAGGGCCACCTAAGGACTTCAGATGTGACTCAGGACAGAAAAGCAGCAGCAGCCCTTGGTGGCCACCTGCCACGGCCTTTCTGGAAGTTGCCTGCCTCAAAGGCCATCTCCAGGAGACAGGCTGTGTGACGCACACAGTGAGGAGCCCAAGTCCCCCCAGTGGGGCTGCCCGCGCTGAATCCTCTTTGCTAATAATAACCCCACAGTTGAGCAATTAAGCAGTGAGTGCATTGCAGAGATGCATCAGGGGGCGATGGGGTTTGGCCAGAGCTCCGACTTAGTCTTGCACCAATTTCCAATTTCATGTAGAGTTTGGTCAACCCAAAATCAATGCCTGCATCCCAAGCTTTCTCAAGGAGCCCCCTTTCTCTTCTCTCTTAGTGTACATGACTGGATGCCTCTTGTGACCTCCAGCCACTGTGGCTATATGACAGTTTCTCCACCAGGTCAGACAGGGTCAACACAGCAGAAAACAGCCACTCAGCACATGCAATCCCAGCTTCCCTGGGGGTGGATTGAAACATATCCTGGAGATGGTCCCGGAGATCTGCTGTAGTGCTTTCCTTGAGATGATCAGAAAGGAAAGAGCGTGTAGATGGTCAGGCACATAAAGTTACAGCCAAGGGATGGGAAAGGTGAGGGAGTCATTCAGGGGCTCTGAGACAGAGAGAGCACATGTCTAGGGTTGGGAAACACACCTACAAAGCCCAGAATGTGAGGTGTGTTAGGGATGGGGATGTTTGCCTCAGGCCTGGAGTCCAGTCCTATCTTTGCCACTCATGAGCCTGGGTCTGTTCTGTCCCTCTGTATATGGGAACGGTAGTGCCCATCTCCTGCAGGGAGGTCAAAGTGAGGCCATGCACACGGCTCACCACAGTGCCTGGCACTTGGGAGGACATCATTCTGCTGTCATCACACAGCCTGCTGGAACACATGCGCCCCTGGTCTCTGCACCTTTAAGCCCACACCTGCTCTGAGAGGTAGGTGGGACAGGTTTGCACATTTTCCTCACTTTATAGATGAGCAAACTAAGGTTCCAAAGTGTGTTGGGGGTGGGGGCAGGGAAATGGCTCAGTTGGTAAAGTGCTTGCCACACGAACATGAAGACATAGTGCAGATCCCCAGCACCCACATGAGAGCTGCGTGTGGTGACACACATCTGTAACCCCACATGGGAGGTAGAGACAGGAGAATCCCTGGGGCTTGCTAGTCAGTCAGTCTAGCTGAATTGGTGAGCTCCAGATTCAGTAGAGACACCATCTTAAAAAATTAGGTGAGGTTGCCAGGCATGGCAGGAAGCACACACCTTTAGTCCCAACATTCGGAGGGTAGAAGCAGACGGATCTCTGCTGGTCTATATAAAGAGCTCCAGGCTAGCTTGGGATACAAGGAGATCCTGTCTCAAAAAAGCAAAAAACAAAAAGGTGTGGCTGAGGAGATGGCTGCCGTTCAAATCCACAGAACCCACGTAAATATGGAGGTGGTAGCACACATTTGTAACCTCAGAGCTCCTAGGCGAGATGGGAGGCAGAGACAGGAGCGTCTCCAGGAGCTCACAAGGCAGACAACCTGGAGTGTGCGTGGTGAACAAGAGGGACTCTGGTTTAAACAAGGTGAGGACCGACAACCAAGGTCATCCTCTGACCTCCACACGTGGCATACATGTGTCTGTACTCTCACATACAAACATACACACACACACACACACACACACACATGAAAAAGAAGTGAAGTGTTTGGGATAACGTGGGTCTCTCAGCCCCTCAACCATCAGTTTTTAAAAATTTATTATTTTTATTTTATGCATTTGAGTGTATTGCCTGTGTGTATGTAAGTACACCTGTGCAATGCCCACAGAGGTCAGAAGATGACATCAGATCCCTGAAACTGGAGTTACAGATGGTGTTAGCCACCATGTGGGTACTGGGAACCAAACCCAGGCAAGAGCAGCCAGTGTCCTTAACCACTGAACCATCTCTCTAGCCCCCCTCAATCCACTGTAACCTTGACCCAGCATACACGGTATTGAATATGCTGACATTGGGGTATGGAGGTCTCTCATTAAAGGTGGATGGCTTGCTGCCTGGTCATGCTCCTGAGGATGCCAGGGGAATGAACTCTGTGGCTCACTGCCTGACTTCAGAGGCCATGCACATCCCCCTCCCTTCCGTCCCTCTCTCCATTCTCCTGGGAAGGGTGAAACCATCACACACTTCACACTCAAAGTCTCAGCAAGACCAAGAAAGTGACTGTGTCCTCCACACCTGTCCTCTCACCCCTTGGAAGGGTGACTTGGGAGACGGGGAAAGAGGCGATGCTTCGGAGGAAGCTCTGCTGGGCTAACTGCCCTTGATGTTTATGCTTGCTGCTGAATTCTTAGGGCCTGCATCATATTGGCTTCCTGACTGACTTCATACTCTAAAAAAAATTGACTCCCTTTCACCTGACTGCTGACAGGGACATCCGGGGGTGGGAGTGGGTTGTCTGGGGCCAGAGGTCCACCCACGAGGCCAATGAATCAGGTGTGAAGCCAGCTCCAGCATGTGCGCTCCCTCCCCATCCCTGCCAACCTCCAGCTGCCTGCCATTTCCTCCTCTCCCGCCCTTATTTGGAGCCCCTGACAGCTGAGCTGCAAGCAGGGGGAGCTGGGCGCAGGCCAGCCGGCACCCTCTGCTTCCCCGCGTGGGTCCTGTTGCCAAGGAGAAAGAATCCTGAGGCGCAGCGGCGGGAAGATAACCAAAGACTCTTTTCTGCTCTTCTCACACCTTTGAAGTGGGGGCCTCTTGAGGCAAATCAGCAAGAATGTGGCTCTTTCAGCTCAGGGTCCGGGGGGCTGCTGGGGCTGCTCAAGGCAGAGGGACGTTGACAAGCTCTGCTGAACTGATAACTTTAAAAGGGCATCTTCTGCTGGCTCCTCTCTTCAGTGCTTTATCGCTGCAAGTGACAGAATGGGGAGGGTTCCAGCCCCGCTGCGTTCTCGGAGAGCTGGGGGGCTATAAAAACGGGAGGAACTAGGCATCCGGGAGACAGTGACGGACAAAGCTGAGAGAGGGCAACCAGAGAGAAGTGAGCAGGAAGGCGACAAGCACCAGATCGGCCCGACCCACACCAGCATGGGCTCCTTCCCCATCGCCATGGGCTTCCTCGTCTTCCTGGCCTTCTGGCCTCCAGGCCATATTGAAGCAAACCCCATATACAATGCGGTGTCCAACGCAGACCTGATGGATTTCAAGGTAGGGCCATGAAGAAGGGCACAGATTGGGGTTAGGGTCTCTCTGGTACTCGGTCCATTCCTCTGAGACCTCTCCTCTCCCCTGCATTTATTTTCCTTTTGTAAAGAATTTGCTGGAGCATCTGGAGGAGAAGATGCCATTAGAAGATGAGGTGGTATCCCCACAAGCCCTAAGTGAGCAGAGCGATGAAGCAGGAGCAGCTCTAGGCTCCCTTCCTGAGGTGCCTCCCTGGACCGGGGAGGTCAATCCACCTCAGAGAGATGGGGGTGCCCTTGGACGGAGCCCCTGGGACCCCTCCGATAGAGCTGCCCTCTTGAAAAGCAAACTGAGGGCCCTGCTTGCCACCCCTCGAAGCCTGCGGAGGTCCAGCTGCTTCGGGGGCAGGATCGACAGGATTGGAGCCCAGAGTGGACTGGGCTGCAACAGCTTCCGGGTAAGAGGAGCTGGGGATGGAGATGGGATGAAGTAGAAGAAAGCTGTGGTCTTGTTGAGGTACAAACCTTTCCAAAGAGTACTTACTGGGGATCATCTTTGGCAGAAAAGGGACCAGTGCAGCCATTTTTTTTCCTTCTGAGAGTTCTACCCCACCTTGATGGATGCCCTACAAATGTCAGGACAATGCCAATGGCCTCCAAGTCACTTCACATGGGAGGGACAAGTCACCTTTGCCTTGCTGAGGGCAGTTCATGCTCTCCCCACAACTGCAAGGTTCTGACAGGGTTAAATGAAATGGACCAAGACTGCATGTATTAACTCTTATGAGTGACTTTCGGTTTATGACACTCAAAGGGTCACTGAGCTGGAGTGAGACTGGTGGGAAATAGCTGGTCCACAGTCAGGTTGAGTGGTTTGGGATGGTAAAGCCGGATCACCAAACCAAGTATATTTTTCTCTTTGTAGTACCGAAGATAACAGCCAGGGAGGAAAGGGCATCCAGGCCTCCTGGGACAGACTGCAAGAGACCCTAAGCCCCTGCCCTGTGTCAGCGTATCACGAAGCTTGGTCTCATCTCGTTCCTTGGAGGTGTGACCAACACCCTACTGAGCCACAGCAGCTGACATCATCTATCACAATCAATGCTAAATGTAGATGAGTGGTTTCAAAGAGGCTTCCTACCTCTCCCACACTGTGCATAAGGTAGATCCTCACCCCTTTCAGAAAACAGTTGGAAAAAAGGAAAAAAAAAAAAAAAGAATAAACTTCAGCACCACGGACAGAGAAGCGGCCGTCTGAGTTGCTTGTGCTCCCTTCCCACGAGCCTCAAGTTCCTTCCATGCCATTTTTTTTCCCTTTGTGACAGAAAAGACCGCCTGCTTTGCTTGCTTGCTTTGTCCTATGACTTCTCCCTCCCTCCCTTCTTTTCCTCCTGAGGGTATGGGGACTCGAGTCACAGTCCTCACTCTGCTTGGCTCACATCAGCCTCAGTCACAGGAAAAATCTGAAAAAGTCCATGGAGATGGAAAGGGCATTTATTTTTACCCACATTTGCTCACACCCATGAAAAGGAAACTCACAAACATCTGGATGTCTTTTCCTGGTGATAGTTAATGACGCTTGTGCCCAACAGACAATTTTTTTTTCACTCCTCCTGTGTTTCGGTTACAGCCCGGGTGATTTTAAGGCACATTCAGAAAACTCGGATACTGACTAGATTTCTGGTAGCTCTGAGGACCTGCTGCTAAGTGAATATTACTTTCAGTATGGACAAGAGTCAGTGGCATGAAGGGTTCACAGCTGTGCAAAATGAAGAAAAGGTCTAAGTTCAATGCCTTGTGAACTACCACACCCATCTCATTCTATCTACCTATCTACTTTATCTATCTATCATCTATCAATCCATCCATCTATCTATCTATCAATCTATCTATCATCTATCTACCTACCTACCTATCATCTATCTATTGTCTCTGAGCCCAGGGAGTCAAAAGCATTTGAAAAATAGCCATGGTCTCCCTCATTCAGGACTACGGTGCCTGGACCTATACACTGACTGAAGTGAGAGCCACCGGGAAGATGCAGGTGTTTTTTGTTGTTGCTGTTGTGTTTGAGAAGGGTCTCCCTGTAGCCTCAGCTGGCCTGGAACTTACTATGTAGACCAGGCTGGACTTAATCTCAGAGATCTGCCTGTCTCTGCCTCCCAAGTGCTGGGATTAAAGGTATGTTCCATCATGCCCGGCTTGTCTTTTTCTTAAATAGGGTCTCAACTGTGTAGACCAGGCTGACCTGGAACTCACAGCCACCAGGCCTGGCTAAGCTGCAATATTTTTCTATCTGTCTGTGAAAAGGGTTCTGTTCTAGACAGAGAACATGACACCAAGGTCCTCTTAAACAAGGAAGGGCTCTACTTTCCCACCTGTTCCTGCCCATCCCCCATTTCCTCTTTACCTCAGATCCTGATGCTAATATCCCCTTCCCCTACACACCTTGCTGTATGCTCATTTCTGCTGGTCCCTGAGCCCAGGGTGCCGACCACCACCCAGTCCTACTCATTCAAGGCCAATCTCAACATGGCTTCTTCCTTGGTCATAAGCCCAATGAAAATGAGTGTCTTCACAGGAGTACTTTATAACTCCAATATGATGTGGTTTGCCATGTGTGACTGTGTGCCTGTGTCCCCACACTGTGGGTTCCTAGATGGGAAACACCTTCCAGTACTCCCTCAGCCAACAGTGGCCACCTTTAACAGAAATGGGGAGAAAAGGAAGTCAAATAAGAGGGTGTGTCTGAGAGGGGAGACCAGAAGCAAATGCTCCTGCTTGGATGTCAAATCAGAAGGTGCAGAAAAACAAGAAGCAGAGGACTTGTGAGAGATGGAAAAGCGTCAGGTCAAATCAAATCTGGCTTGAGGTCTGCACCCGAAGTCCCTATTGCAAGGAGAGGGGAGTGGGCAGAGAGGGATACTCCTGGGGTCTCACCGTCACAGAGGGTTATCACTGAATACAAGGGACTAACAAGGTAAAAGAACTTGAGGCTAGAGAAGGACTGGTATTCCCGGTATCCTCCCACTGGTGGGATGGAAGCTCAGTCACAGACACTGGGAGTGAGTGCAAGAAGCCAGGCGTGAGGGCCGTCTTCATCGTTCCTGGCTGGCTGTCAGGATCCTGCCTGTGGGGCGAGTACCCCAACAAGGAGTTAGGATCCAAGTGGACTCTGCACTTCTGCTTCGGGGAACAGTGTTGCAGGAAAAAAGGATTTTACAGGAAGAAAACATCACTATGGACCAGTCCAGGCCCATCATGGCAGTAGACAGACATAGGTAAGCAAGCACAGGATGAGAACACCTGCTGGGCAGTGGCAGGGAGATGCAAGGCCACCAGGCCACCTTTTGGTTGGGCATGATAACGCATGCCTGCAACCCCAGCACTGGAGAGGTGGAGGCAGGAAGACAAGGGAGTGTAAGGCCAGTTCCAGACCTGATCTCAAAGACTACCTTCTAGCACTGCAATTTTTCTCTATTTGAAAGAAAAGCAATGAAATAAAAACCTCAAAAGAGCAGACAGGTGCGTTTTATTCTGACATGTTACCACGAGAACTTCCAACTTCCAAAAGTTGAAATAAAAATAGACTTTTACAAATTAAAAAAATCCATTATATACACAATGGAATTAGCTAGTGTTACCATATAAACAACGCCAACGGAAAGGTGGAAGCTGTGGCTGTAAATACCGAGGTCCACAGGAGCCGAGGGGCAATACTGCACGTCAACATGGCCAGGAAGGCCCTGCTGGCCTTCCCAGAGGCTTTCTTGTCACTAAGGGCTGTCAGTGTGCAATTCAATTGTGCATCAGAACTGTCACATGGTTGGCTGAGTCAAGCTAATGTCTGTTGGTTCCAGCTGAAACTGCTAGACAAGGTCACAAGCAGAGGTCTCAAAACACACAAACTCCCACAGCAGGACGGGGTCTGCCTGTCAGCCTCAGACACCTCAGCTAGTGAGCCACAGAATGCCTGTGGAGAAGAAACCCAGGGAACCCCTCCAACCAACCTCAGACATCACTGAATTTATTTGACAAGGTGCTGTGGCAAGTCACTGGTTTCTGAGGACAGCAATAGGGACGGGGCCAAGGTTTACAGTTACTGGTCACAAGGGGAGTTGTATTCTCTGGACTTTTCTGGAAAGGGCAGGTTCAGCACAGGAAATTGTGTCCCAGAGGGGCTGGGCTCAGGCCTCTAGGGTGGAGGTATCTGCACTCTACCTGGGCAAAACTGATGGGTGACAAGCAGGTATAGGATGGACAAATTCCAACAGGTCACCAGGGCTGGCTTCTAGGCAGGAGGCTGGGACTCAGGGTCCTCTGAAGGGATCCTGCTCTGCAAACCCAGCAGGGCACAAAGAATGCTAAGGCCCTCACGTCCTTCTCTTCGTGTGGGAACTGGTGTTCTTGATGAAAGACAACGAGGCAGGCTCTACACTCAGTCATATAACGAACCTGCTTCACAAAGGTGCGAGTTCCCCTCTATCTGGGGGTACTGCCCCCGTTCACAAGTTCGGGCATCTGGACAAGCTGAAAAACGAACAAGTCAGGGTCATTTTGGTCAAAAAGATAAATAGGGAGAATGGAGAGGGCACAAGTTGCTGTCATCTGGAATGGTCCCGTTGTGGCTGGGGAATAAGCCCCCAGAACGTGCTGAGCACAAGCCCCTGTCCAGCCAGGGCTGACTGTGCCCAGGCCCAGATACTCTTTTACCCTCTAGCAACTTCCATGGTTTAAAAACCACTAAATGAAAGTGAATGCCATCTAGGGTCCTAAAGAACAGCTGCCACGGGGACCGTAGGTTGCAGGAGGATGAGTGTCCCTACCCAGGTGTTCACTGTGGGAACCGAGGCACCCAGCAGAGAATGAGGCCATCAAAAACTACTGCGTTTCTTCCACTCACCTCAGCCACAGGGCAGGAGCACCCCCCAACTCCTCCCAGCCCTGCAGCCCAGCAGCTGCTGAGGAAGAGCCCTCAGCAGAGGGAGGTGAGTGGGGAGTAGGGCAGGGAGCAGGGTGGGAACAGTGACGGGAAGGGAGCCATCTGCTTTCCTCTAAGGCGCTACCTTTCGAGTGGCCCTGGCTCAGGACAGTCTGCTGGCCAGCTTGTAGGAGGACTCTGAGTGATGGCTTTGTCTAGGGGGTCCTTGTTTTGGGCTAACTTTGGGAATGAGGCCAAGACTAAGCTGTGGCTGCCCCACAGGGAAGGTGGAGACAAAACGCAGGAAGTGTAGTAAGTTATGGGAAGGAAAGGAAGGACGGAGAGTGAGAGAGAGGCCAGAAGCGGTGTGTGGGGACTAGCGAGGGGAGATGGCACTGTCGCTCTACGATGGAGTTTATGGTCCAGAGGCTGTTAGTGGGAGCTAATGCTTTGTGAGCTTGGTCAGTGGTGGTTCTGAGGAGAGTTGAGTCACAGGAGCAAGCAGAGCACGTGTCGCTCCTGGGAAACAGAACAAGGGCCAGTGAGGATGCTGAGTCCGGGGTCCATCCCCTGGCAAAGGCAGTCCTTCCTGGACATGGAGAATTATCTCAGCAATTCCTGAACTCAGAAACAAACCTGATTTGCAAATGGCACCCCCAGTGTTTGCCTCAGCTCAAGCCCCTCCCTGCCGGGCTCAGGCAACAGCTGCACTCTTCCAAGAAATCAGCAACAGAGGGGCACCAAGTGTCCTTAGGGTCCAATCTGATTTTACATCGGGCCCTGGCTCAGGGAGCCTGTGCCAACATAGAATGGCAAGAGCCTGGGGAACAGGAAATGGAAAATACTTGCTCAGGAAGTTATCAAAGCCCAACTTTTGGTGCAACACCATCCCCAGGACCTCTGACCCCAAGTGGTTCATAACTCCAGGCTTTCTGACCAAGTGGGTGACTGAGAGCCTTCATGTCAGCTGTGGGGGCCAGTGAGTGCGACAGCACCCTGCAGAGGCATCTCCAGGAGAGTGGGCTGGCAGTGGCAGGAGCCTGGGCTGTCAGAGGGTCTGGTAGTGCTGCCGCAGCCGGGAATGCAGGAACTCGTACGTCAGGTTGTGCCGTGTTATGATCCCTACGATCTAGGGCAAAAAGAATGACTGAGTTACAGCAGGCTAAAACTCACTGGCAAGGACGTGCATGAAGAGAGCCTATCAGCCTGTCACAGGATGAAGAGGACAGAACTGGGGCCAGGGCAGGCATGCTAAGATCTGATTTCCTAAACCCAGGGGAGGATCAGGGCTATGCTGGAGGCCAGGGGACAGATGTAGCTGTAAAAAGAGTCTGAGCTGGGCCAGGTGGCCCTGACCAGGAAGGGAGCAGGGACTAAGTGGCCAACAGAAGGGGAGACTTCTCTTCAAAGAAACCACCTGCTTTCTCCTACATGTATCTGAGTGCTCAGGCATCTTTTTATTACTTTTGGTTTGGGTCGGGACAGGGTCTCATCACACAGGCCAGGCTGGCCTTGAACTTGCCACCTTCCTGTATGCTGTAATTATGGGTGTGTGTCACAAAGCCTGGCAGAGCTAGTGTCTTTTGTTTTGTGTATCTGTTTATGGATAAATACCAGGCACAGGTTCTACACCGAGCTGTAAGGCCTTAAAGGGGCACATGCCAAGTGTGGTGGCGCACACCTGTAACTGCAGTATCTGGGAGGCTGAAGCAGGACTGCCTCAAGTTCAAGGCCAGCCTGAGCTACATAGTAAATACCAAGCCAGTGAGAGGGAAGGTGGGAGGAAGTGAGGGAGGAAGAAATGAAGGAAAAGAGGGAAGAACTTGCATCTGGCCAACCCCTACAGAGTCTCCACTTCCTAAAGGGCCATTTTTGAAAGACTTCAAAAGGGACTTGAGCTCAACAAATACCTAATGAGGACAGGGAACAAAATGACCGACTGTACAACAGCCATGATGATCTATCCTCATAGAGGCCAGAGTGGAGTGCTTGGAACTCAATGGTGGAGTACTTGCCTAGCATGCCTAAGACAAAACAGCATCTACCACCAGGAGTGGTGGCGCACACTTTTAATCCCAGCACTCGGGAGGCAGAGGCAGGTGGATCTCTGAGTTCAAGGCCAGCCTGGTCTACATAGCAAGTCCTAAGTCAGCTGTGGCTACAGGGAGACCTTGTCTCAAAAATATAAAAATACAAAGGAAAAAAAAAAACAAAACCCCAAAACCCCCAAAACCCAGTATCCACCATAGATGAGTGTCTGGGTGAAGACCCACTATGGACAGTGATTTCATTTTCATTAAAACTTCCACCATAGGGGCTGGAGAGATGGCTCAGAGTGCTGGCTGCTCTTGCAGAAGACCCAGGTTTGGTTCCCAGCACAACATGGTAGCTAACAATTGTCTGTAACACTAGTTCCAGAGGAATTCGACACCCCTTTCTGACTTCCTCAGGCGCTGCATGGCAAGGGTGCTCATACAGACATGCAGACAATACACTCACACACATTAAATAAAAATAACGAAATATTTTTTAAAATTCCACCATAAACTAGCTCTGGCTGTGTAGACGGCCGAGCACAGGGAAGTTCACAGGATGGTGGCTGGGATGAGGGCTGGGCACTGTTTATCTGTGCTTTCTTATTTGGGACAGCACAATACAATACAATAATGATCATGTAATAAGAAAATAAAGTTGGGCTGGTGAGATGGCTCAGCACATGAAGGTGCTTGTTATGTAAGCTTGGTGACCTGAGTCTGATCCCCAGAACACACATAAAGGTAGAAAGAGAGAACCGACTCCACTAAGTTGCCTTCTGATCTTCACCTATGCACTGTGACATGCGTGTCCACTCCCCCATACACACGAACACATGGTAAGTAGATTTTTTTTTTTTTTTTTGGCCTTTTTGAGACAGGGTCTCCCTGTAGCCCCAGCTGGCCTGGAACTTACTATGTAGACCAGGCCGGCCTTGAACTCACAGAGATCTGCCTGCCTCTGCCTCCCGAGGGCTGGGATTAAGGGCGTGTGCCACCATACCCAGCCAATAAGTAGATTTTTTAAAAAAAGTTTTCTGCCTAAAATTCTCTCATTTGATGGTAAGAATGCTCATAACAGGCGGGAGCGGAGGACACAGGCCAGGAAGTCAAGAGAAACCCCCAGGGTGGAGAAAGCAGTCTGGGAGGCAGGCCATGGCACGATGGTGCCACCTGCTGACCGTGTGGGACAGTATGTGCAGGGGAAGAGCTCAGGTGGGTGGACAGACCACAGAAGCAGGGAGCTAGGTCTCTGTCCTAACTCACCTCTCCCACCGCATTCACAACAGGCAAGTGGCGCAGGCCCATGGTTCTGAACAGGTTGAAAACTTGGGAAACATGGGTGTTGGGGGAGACAGTGAACGGCGAAGGGTTCATATACGGGGTGACATCCTGTAGAAGAGACAGCAAGGGTCACCCACAAACCAGGATGAACATGGCACAGAGCAGCTGGGTAGCATGTGGAGCAGCTCTGGACAGCCCTCCTCACCACGATCATCCGAGGGTTCAGCAGCGTGAGGTCCAGGTCATGTATGTCTGGGTACCGCGGGTAGTCCTCGGCCATCTCAGCATAGGAAAGGCGTGGCTGGCTGGCACTCTGCAAATCCAACCACAGTGCCTTTGTAACAAGTGGCAGCAGCAGGGGAGAGTCATGCTTACAGCTCCCTTTTCACTTATGTCCCTATCTACCAGCCACATGCCCAGGGGGGTGCAGGGGACACAGCAGGAGCCAAGGAGGGAGACAGCCTAATCCAAAGCAAGGATCCTCTGAACGAGAAAACTGCTAATAGGAGTTAGGGGTTGTGTGCCCCGAAAAGTACGGTCCTGGTACCTCTCAGGTGCCCTTACTGGAAACAGTATTTACAGATTCACTTAAGAGGAGCTCACACTGGACTGGGGTCCTAAGTCCGATGGCAGGGGTCCTTACAAAATGGGGAGAGGAAACAGAGAGAGTGAGCACTGTGTGACAATAGAGGTGAATTGAAGTGATGTCCACAGCCAGGAGTGCCGGGGACTGCTGGCAACCACAGGCGGAGGGGAGGCCAGAACGACCCTCTCCTAGCTCCTCACTCTGGACTTTTGTACTTCTGGCCCTGAGCTGTAAAGACCTTGCTTCAAGCCACCAGGCCAATGGCAGTTTGGCACAGCAACCGAGGGGCAGTCCCACAGGGGTGCTGTCACCTTCCCCCAGGTCGTCGGGCCAGTGCATGAGTGTAGAGACGGGCAGAGCAGCCAGTGGTTCTGCCACTGCTCTGCCCGAATGGGACGCTGCTCCTGTAACTCACTCTGGGCACCTTCACCTGGCTCACAGCTGGCCTCACTGCACTGGTCCTCTGCCTGCCAGGCAGCCCTGGAATCCCTGTGCTCGATCAGGCTGGCCCAGTCCAAACGCTTCAGGATGCAGGCTCTCTCACCCCCTCTGACCTCCTTGCCCCAAAGCTCCCTATCAACTTCTAACCACTCCAGCCAGACGGGTCATCACACACTCTGCCCAAGGTCCTTTTTCTGTCCTGTGCTCTTCCTTAGGCCTGTCAGACCACAGAGGGGCTCAGGCACCCTCCATGGCAGGACCCACCCCCAACCCCAGGAGAGTCACTGGAA